ATATCCACCAGAATTTTTTAAAAAGTAGATCACAAGCAATGCCTGTACCAATTCAGGAATACGACAGTTGTTTTCCATTCGTTTGATGTGAATGAGCTTTTGATTTTGCCATTTGATTAGGGACTTTCCTTTTTGAATTTTCCTCGGAGTTCAGTATTTTTGTGATTTTACTTTTTATAGGCCACCGCAAGTCTGCAACAATGACAATTTTCGAAAACAACACTACCGTGTAAATGTCAATGAGATGATGTCCGTTTTATCTGCCTCTTGATTATATACATGTTAATAGATGTACTGAAGTTATTCTTTATCGTGTTATATAGAAAAAGATCATTTTCTCCTTGTATTTTTCATTATCAGTACTTCTTTTGCTATTGTTTTGTTTTGTTTTAATTATTCAGTAATTTGGTGTTGATCTCTGGTAGTCTGAAATTATTAGTCTGGTATCTTCATGATCTTTGAAGAGTGTGAGAACCATTTGGTCCATACAACTGCTAGTGGACGGTTCTTCTCCCTGGGCATCACAAGCCCAATTGTCAGCACTTTTGCTTTTACATTCAGATTCATTCATATTTTAATTTCCTGTAAATGTACTGTAGATAAAATGTTGAACTATTCGAACATTGCTACCATTTTCAAATACTGTTCAAATTGAATTTAACAACTGATTGATGTTTTCCTTGTTGAATGTAGATTTCCAACGAATTGCAAATATCTAGAACACTTATTTAAACACAAAAATTAAATAATAGGTATTTTTTTTATTTCTTATTTTTATTGTAGTTGTTTGATTTATAGTAATATACTTTTTGAAGATTATTTGACACTAATCGAAACGGCTTATATAGAGAGACGTAAATTCTGCACATCTTCTACCGATGTCACCAACGATCACCATCCAGTATCAAGACAACATTTTTACGCCGCTTAAAAATGTACTTTATTCGGCAACAAAGATACCGATTTCAAAGATAATAAAAGTGAACACATTACAAACAAAAATGAAGCAACTGTTATTATATTAATATTTGAAATAGTTTAATAAACTTTTTCCTACTACTAAATACGAAAAGAAGAACCACAATGTCTCCTTATTTTTATGCCACACATAATTGTCTGTGCTCAATTCATAGAAAAAATCGTATATATGCACTGTATAGAAAAGGAATCTCGAGATGAAAGACGCAATGATATTGACGTATTTAAAAGACTACGTATAAAAATGCATTTTAAGATACAGATGTTATATAATAGTTATAAATGTAATTAATTTGGTGTAAATCATGAGAGTTATGATTATAAAATGTATCAATTATAAATTACTTTGATTTTGATGGATGATAATAAATAGTTTTTTTAAGTTAAATTGTGTATAAAGAAGACTGTTGAAATAAATAAATCAACAAAAATACCGAACTCCAAGGAAAATTCAAAACGGAAAGTCCCTTAGCAATTGGCAACATCAAAAGCTTAAACACATCAAACGAATGGAAAACAACTGTCATATTCCTGACTTGGTACAGGCATTTTCCGATGTAAAAAATGGGGGATTAAACCTGGTTTTAAAGCTAGCTAAACCTCTCACTTGTATGACAGTCGAATAAAATTCCATTATATTGACAACAATGTGTGAACAAAACAAACAGACATGATAGGTAAAAATGTCAAAAATAGGGATACATTAGTCAAGATTGTGTTATAATCTCAATCACTATAAAAACAAACAAATATGTCAACAAAGAAAAACAAAATGGCATATAGACAAAGCACATACGCAACATTGAAACACAAGAATACAAAATATGACAACAGCACAACAACACAATGGCGGGATGTACAAGTACATAGCCACGTCTAAAGGATATTACCAAAAATGGACCAAACAGTAAACGTTAACAATTAACAAAGACAAATAAAAGAACACTAAAACACGTAATTAAGATGATATACAACGTCAGTACCTAGAATCTATACATCAAGACCATCATGTATTATTTGTGAAGTTGATACGGAATATTCATCAAGAAGGTCTTGGTATCTTCCGATGAACTTTTTTTTAGAAAAAGGACAAGACGTTCTTTGACATAACCCTGGTTCATCATCTTTTTGCTCAGACACTGGTGACGTTTTACAAAGTCTGAATAGCAGCTGTAAGCTCTTGAATACCGAATGAGTTGGGAAATGTATATCCCATATGCAGGTGAAGTTGGTATATTACTACTAAGGTTTAATAAAAATGTCTATTATATACTTTGTTGTAAATACATACAAATTGTATATGTAATACAATTGATGACAGTCGTACTTTATCAGCCATCTGTGATGATATCGATATCAGTCACGGTTATCAAATCCGAATCTGTATGACGTCACGTGATTGATATCAGTCACGGTTTCAAAGCTTTATCAAACCCCTTATACGTATTACGTTATATCTCGTGAAAAATAAGGGATATTAGTTGTACTTGAAGTATATGTAAACAATAAAGAGTATATGATATGGACTTTTCAATAGCACACACCGTATCAACCATCAACCAATATAATCCCTCTAGAAGAAGTATTGTTTTTGACATACATACATGTACGGTTTCTTACAAGTCTTTGATGAATTCATTGAACAAACCGCATTGCGTCGGATGCATGAACTTTATAAAGCGTTGTTGGTTTTTTTTACAATAATAATTATCGAATGTTATTTCTTTGCTTCTCTTTTGTGAATTTATTGCAAATTACAGTGATTCATGAACAATCATGTCTAGTTTACATAGATATCAGGCTCAAGGTTTCTGTGTCGCTTGATTTACCACTTTTAGTACACTAGGCCGTGTTAGCGATGTATTCAATGAGACAGCAGTCCCCCAAAATATGCAATATGTAAGACTAAAAAATGCTAATAAATTTAAGTTTTAGTTTAACGCAATTTTGAAGACAGAGAGACAAAAACAATAAACTCATCACTGAAACAAGGATGAATATTTTGTACATTAAATGCACGTTTCTTCTACCAAATTAGTGACGCTCGAATAAAAAAGTAAAAAAGACCAAAGAAAGAAGGAAGCTGAAAAGCATTGAAGAGCATTTCGAATTGGTTTTGTAAAATACAGCTGTGGTAATCAGTTTCTAGGGTAGAAAAATCATTAGTTTTTCGAAAAATTCTTAATTTTGTTAACAAATGATTTATGATTATCATCATTACAACATCCTCATTTATTGATACATTGTCGTAAAAATTGTCACAAGTTTCAATGCATTCGTACAAGCTAAGATATAATACATACATGTGTATGCAGTTTGTAACAAAAAAGTCATGCTCTATGTATAATGTAGGCGATTCAATTGTATTTGAAAACTAACTAGTGATGGATCTGTACAATATAAACATTTTTCTGAAGGTTACATGTCTTAAACACGAATCCATTGGATATGTACTAATTGATACTGAAGTCTGGACAAAACTTAATTATTTATTAGTTTTAATTAAACCAACTTTCAGTAACAGCGAGTATTGGTATTTTTTGTGCTTTTGTTTTTTGTTAGTTTTTTGTGCAGTGTGCTAACCTTAAGAGGCAAGCCCTTTGAAACTGACTTTTATGGTTTGTTCTTAAGTGGTGCTGTTACGCCACTATCAAAGCCTATGAAGGGTTGTTGAGCCATGTCAAACTGTTTAAACTCCACCATATTCCTCATGTCAGGAGCCTTTAAAGTATTGGTTCGTCTTTTGAATCTTTTATAGGTTACAATTTCAGTGTATTGCTCATTTTTGGTCCAATAGTTCCTTACATCGTCGTCCTTCTGCATTTGATATCTAGCTATTTTACAACATCCTTATTTTTATTTTAGTGTAAAAGTAAAATATCAAAAATACCGAACTCCAAGGCAAATTCAAAACGGAAAGTCCTTTATCAAATGGTAAAATCAAAAGCTCAAACGCATCAAGCGAATAGAAAACAACTTTCATATTCCTGACTTGGTACAGGCATTTCCTTATGTAGAAAACGGTGGATTAAACCTGGTTTTATAGCTAGCTAGTAATTCAGAGTTAAAAGAGCAGATAATTAAAAATTGTAATGAAATTGATTGCATGAATTGGAAAACATTATGTGAAGATGTATCAACAATAGTAGTTATTTTCATCAATGCTTAATATTAACTGGTTTAACTAAAGAATTACTATATAGTTGTATGAAACACGTCATCTTGTCCCCCTCTTCATTATAAATGTAAAAAGCACATTGTTAAAAGTTGAGCATATAAGCTAGTTGAAATGATAGACATGTCAATTTACATTTGAATGAGACCTATATGCACGCTCTTCGGTTCATTAAATGCCAGCTTACGATTAACCAGTCTTAAGGTAATATTATCAAAACTTTAAAGGTAAAATATATCAGTGAATAAAAAATTAACCAAAATCCATCAAACAGAAATACATAAATAATGATGTTCCTAAGCGAATTTCGGCTTGATGCATGTCGTCTATGTCAAAGCTCTCTGAAGACGCGAACTGATACGTATGGATATCTATCAAACAAGTAATATCTTGAACATCACTGGCACAACTATCTATACTTTCTTTCCTACAATTTCGCAAAACAAACACATTAACCGATGAACACTGTCTGGTCCAATAATAGCACCATTGATATCATATAGTCATGTGATACACTTGAATTTAAATTTATAGATCAGAGGACGGGCAAGTACAGACTTCATCATAAAATAATTTTGTGGTTTTATGACAATTTTACCTGACACATGTTTATTTAGAAATGGTAATTAACAACTAATCATTCTCTTTTTTTAATGAAACAATGTGTCAGGCCTCTTTTACAGATTATGATTGCATTATTTTCATGTTGTATCATTTAATTGAAGTTCATTTGAGCAGTAACGATCGATTATCAAATTGTAATGGGAGGATTCCTGTATATGATTAAACCTACTAGTCAGCTATCTTAATTGATTAGGACTTAGGCATTTATAAGGAAAAACAAATGTCCATTTCGCATATTTTTTAATACATGTTACTTTGTACAAACGACACAAAGAACATCTGTTTCATTGGTATACGGGGGACATCTTAAACTTCCACATTTGGTGCGTAGGGGATAAAACAAAGCTCCGTTTTCATCACCATTCTTCTTATCAAATGGTCCTGCATTTTTGTCAACACAGGCGTAGTCTCTTTTGAAATGTCCTTTAGAAGCTATCATCAAATAACCGTTATATTCTAAGTTCCATCCTTTATAGCAAGTTTGTCTACCTATATAATTTTTGAATTGTATAATAACGATAAATACTATATATGCTCAATCTGGTTAGAGTTAAAACATCCTAGTAACATTACTGGATATCTTGGCACAAATATACAATGTTTGTGTATTAATTGTATTAAGGTGTTTACTGGTTAAGTGTTTTTTCTTTATCCCCAATACATTGTCGTACCTAATTTGTAGAAAGAATAAGATTTAAAAACGTTAATCATTTACATTGTTTATGGTTGTATTTTCGTCATGATATTTAATTGTGTAAATCTTTTGTTTGAATTAATACAAGAATGAGTCAACACGTAACTTTAAATTTGAAAACAATACTTAATTTCTTCTTAAATTTTGCATAAAGTACATATGCTGTTCATTCAGGAAAAGGGTTTCAGCTGCTCTTTAGGCCCTTTTTGGTATTTGTATCTAATCATATATATCTTTTGATGTCGAGCGTTCCGATAACAATGAAGTTAATCCAGAAAACTTGTATTGACATTCATCTTATGATATCAGTATCAACATATCTGAAATTGCATTTACAAATGATTCAAATTTGAACATTGTATTTATATAGAATAATGTCAATTTTGTTTTTTATACCGACTTTGGCGAACTGATATTCGAGCTGATGAAGTCAGTATCAAAAAATAAAATGCCATTATTTTATTATCGGCAATTTGTCTATACCGTATGTTTTTTGGTTGAGAATATGAAGTAAAATTTAATAGTTAGTAAAAACAACTTTTACGTCTACAAACCGTTGGGATAGTAGTTTGAATGAAGTCGCGTGCATTTCATTGATGAATTGACGCGGATGGACTTAAAGAAGTGACGTTGCTGCATTGATACATGCATGACATCATTGCCTAATATTTTCGAGTATCAAGTCCTATCAATGATTTTCAAAATATTAGGCAGTAAAATCAGGGAAAATGTACAAATTGTCGATTACTATTTTTTACCTGGTATCATCACGACAGCTGATCTTCGTTTTTGGTAACATACAGAACATGGCACTTCCTTGTTATGCATACTTTCTGACCATCCTGATGGCTTCATTGATGAACTAAGTTCATATTCACCTCCATGAACCTGGTCATTGTCAAATGATTGATGCTGCCCATTCTCTGGATCATTCGGGAGACATAAATAGTTCACACCACCTCCTCTATCTGAATATTGAGTTCCACCGACTTGTCCTGAAAAGGGAAAAGTGTGTCCAAACATAAACTGTGAAGAACATCAGTATAACAAGGTGTGGTATCATTCAAATGAGACAAAAAAAAAAAATAAGGTCGGCTTCTTTTATTACAGAATAGTTTTTGTTCAAACGGATATTATGTCGTAATGACTATCAGTATACATTCTTCAGAATAGTAATTGTATCGTTTTACGGAAGAATAAGTGTAAAAACAAATTTAGAAAATCACTGATGATATTTAACTTATCAAAAACAAATTCATTAAAAAGTTTAGGATTTTTATACTTGATATAGATCGCCTATACAAGAATAATTTTCTATTACCTGTATACACTATGTCAACTCCTTCTGGACAACCTTTCTTACCCCAACGAACATAAGTCATTCCTAAAGATAAACACAAAGACAAAAAAGAAAATAATTGAATGTTTTAAAACAGGATAAAACTCTAATTATAAATTCAGAGTATAACATAGTATTACATCATGTATATATTTTTATTTTTGATAAAAATTCGTATTTTCAGAACGACATTATCGTCACAATTGTTTAAAAAAAATTGCACATGTCAAAATATGTTTAATGAATAACTCAAAATAGTTAGCTATTTTTATATGTTACGTTATTAAATTTGCCTTCAACGTTTTAAATAATAATAAAAGATACATCAAACTTGATAAACCTTAAACAACCTGTATTGCGTGTTTTGCTTTGCGATGGACATTCGTCTTTCCTTGACGTATGAAGGTAATGTTTCATCATATCTATCAGTGACTGATCTGAGGCCGACAGGTCATAGTCCTTACATCCATGGCTGTGCACAACCAGCATCACAATTACTAGCACAAATGTCACATAAGCAAAACACATATTTATTCTGCTAATTATATAAAAAAAAAAACAATTCTTAATCTTACACATTATGTATCAGCAAAATAATTTAAGGTTAAGTTTAGAGCAGATGGAATTTAGTTTTATATCTGTGTGAAATAAGTAAACTTGCTTAAGTTTATATGCATATGTATTTTAGTCTGCTTTTTTTTGTGCGCAACTAAACAATTTCATATCAAGCAATCCAATTACTACATACTAAAATATATGCCTGTGATCGTTACTGAGTTAAGTTTTTCAGTGTTAATATTTCTTTTTACCTTAAACTAAAAGGTACCGTAAAAGTTATAAACATACCTTTTTCCTGATCCGTTTTGAAATGGTAATGCGATATATCTACAAAATGTTTAGCTGGTGCTATATTATATATATATCTTTACATTCAAAAAAAGGATAATGAGGTGTTTGCGTGACTAGATATTGCCTTTTCTTTACACATACATGTAATATGTATATTACATATTTAGTGTAGTTTAGAATGAAAGTAAAAACAAACCTGCATTCGCTACGTAATAGATCTTATAGATAGAATGTGCCCTCGCACCATTTGAGTCAAGGATACAAGATTATATGTGAAACTCTATTCATTAAACTCAAATATACAATTAAGGATGCCACATATACAGTCCCGTGTTAGTGTCCTAAATATCTTGAAATACATCTAGATACTGAGAAGGAAGATCAACTGAGAAGTAAATATATGGCACATAGTATGATTTTAGCTTTCTAATTAGGAATTTGTAATTTCTATATAGAGCATTTCAAAGCTTTTGTTTTCCATCATGATTAACTTTATACAGGGTAATAACTTAAGAGGAAGTTATTGAACCATGGGTTTATATTTATAAAGTTAAAGTCATCACTTTAAAACGTTTATTAACACTACCATGAATTGATTGAATACCTGTAACACAGATAACTAAGAATATGTTAAAAATGTTGAAGCTGCAATGCCGTCTTCCTTTCCTTGATTATTACATATATAAATTGTTTACCTGTCATGAGCAGCACCATTGATGCCCCTCGTGGAGGAGAATATGGATACCCTTCAGAGGCATGTTAGATTACCAACAGTTTTTGAAGGGGTTCGTAATGCTCAGTCTTTTCGTTTTTTGTGCAGTGTTTTGAATAGACTGTTGTTTATCTTTAAGTTCATTTTATTTATTGTTTAGATAAAAATGAACAATATTCAACAATGTACAAGTGTCGTCACAAACTGTAAAGCCCTTATTATCACAAAGGTCTAAAAGAACAGTTCTAAACAATTTGAGCAGATGCTAACAATCATATGCCGTTAACAAAAAAAACCAAAATATCGAGATCTGAAATGTAGAGACATTTGTAGTTTAACGATATTATAATCTCAGGCAGAAGCTACAGATTGAGATAAAACAATAATAATGGAATCGCATGAACGAAAATTTTGACATAAGCAAACTTCTGCCGATTTACTTGATTCAAACTCATGAACAAATTGCCTCAGCGGTATTAGGCACAATTGTTTGGAATTTTTTGTTTTGGTTTTATCCTTCTAACTGTTCTGATTCGAGCTCCACTGATGAGCTTTTTGTTGACGAAATGAATGATTGGCATACGGCATACAATATCATGCGTCTGGTATCTTTGATTAGTTACCAACCGTGTGCTTTTGCTCTGATATAAAATATCACTGATTTAAATGCAATATTCAAAAGTGTAAGTTATTCAAAACACTTATTTTTTCGAGCCCGGACATATATTACCTTAGGCGTTCTTGTACAGATTTTCCAATTTTTCAGGTTAATAATGCTGTTAAACTTTGTTCTTTGATTTTTCAAACACCAGCGCCACTAATGAGTCTTATGTAGACTATTCCTAAGTTTATGGTACAAAATTATCAGCATGGTATCTCTAGTGACTGACTGTTTATACCAGTGAAGATGTTTCCTTTTTGAGCCGCAGTTAACAAATGATAATATACAATTTTAGCCTTAGTATGTGTCGAAACAAGGGTGTACCGACCTTACAGAAGTATATTAATTGAGGACGAAGTCCGAGGTCGATATTCTTCTTTTGGTAGATATATCCTCATATCGACGTCATATACAGACTATGGTTGTTTTCTTATTATAATAAATACGCTGGAAATAGAACAGATATCAATTTGATTAGTTATTACGATTGTATCACAATGTATTGAGGCTTTTAGAGTTTTTTTTTAATTAACTGTGTAGTATCTCTTTTCTATCTGCTGTTTTCAGTCTATCTTTGAAAACACTGTCTGGTCAAATCAAATTAATTAGATTATACGAAAAAATAATATTACAATAATATATCGTTATAATCATGGAATTCAAGGTAAAACTAAGTAATACTAAGGCCATTTTTATTACCTGTATATACTTTGTCAACTCCGTTTAGATAACTTTTACTTCTCCGACAATCATAAATGCCTCTTTTGAAGGTAAAGGTAAAATAAAAAATACAGCAAAAATAACATGCAAATATAATACAAGTCTACAGTTTGAAAGGTTAACCAACCAGAAGGCTTCAAAAAGAAAATAAAGCTTATTAATACAATTTAACAAATTACTTAAAACCTCTGCTAAATAATTTTATAGATATAAAGATTTAGTTGGGCAGTTTGATTGTACTTATGGAAAAAAAAACGGGATATCACATCCTGAATTATAAGGTGATGTTGTTGTTTTGAGCCCCTTAATGTATTGATTGATTAATTAATTTGAGTATTAACGCCACTTTCCGCACTATTGTGCTGTTTCTTTGCGGTCAGGTTTTATCTGTAAAAGAAGCCGGAAAGCCCGGAGAGAACCACCGACCTTCACGTGCGGGATTCGAACTCAGAACCTCATTGTAATCAGGATAGTAATAAAGAAGTTCGACTACTTAAACCACTCGGCCGTCAAGCCCCCTCTTAGTTTAGATACGAACCATGTAAACTCATCAACACTTTAAATAAACTTATTCGCAGAGGTTATCCAGTTGAACATTGTAATTAGATTGGATATTGTTTTCATTCCTCTTCCTAACAATAGATTAAAACTTAACTAAATATGTTATGTAACTATACAATTATAAACGTCTACAGTTCTACATCCTGTCGATACATTAATTTTCGCTTTGCAATAGGTCATATTTTCCTAGACTGTTTATGAAGTCTTTACACAAATCCATTGAATGTTAACTATTAGTTATTGCTATGTTGTCTTAGATACATGACTGTTTTTATTAGTTCGGTACTTTGTGTCTTAAGTGTCTAATGATTTAAGTGCATTTATGATTTTTATAGTTTGTTTTTATGTTGTGCTATTACATCACTGTCCCATGTTACGAAGATGGTTGGGTGCCCGCTAACATGTTTGACATCGCTAAATTCTGTATGTGCCTGTCCAAAGTGAAGAGCCTGTAATTAAGTGGTTGTTGTTTGTTGCTGTAAATCATACTTATTTATTTCGCTTATTGTTATGTACATAAATCAGGCCGTTGGTTTTTTCGTTTTAAGTGTTTTACGTTTTGCTATTTCTGGACCTTTTATAGCTTGCTATGCGGTATGCTTTTTCCTCATTGTTGACGACCGTAGAATAGCCAGAAATTGGTAACATGGACGTCATTTGGTCTCTGGTGGATAGTTATTTCTGCGGCAATTATACAACATCTTACCATTTTAAGGTAATGCATATGAAAATAATACTCCGATTGTTCCAAAAGATGAGGAATGTTGAGATTAATTTTTTGATGCCTCAAATTTCCAAAAATGTATCAACAAAAATTAGAAAACGAAGGAAAAATAAAATAGAGGACGTCAATAAAACCTGAAAAAAACAACAAAACACTCGACTATATCAACCAACGAAACGACTAGAAAGTAACTGTCATATTCCTGACGTGGTAAAGGCATGAACCAAAAAATATGATCGATTAAACCTGATTTTATAGCTAGGAATACCTCCGACGTGTATGACAGTTGTTTATAGTTCCATTATATTGACAAAATTATGCGAACAACTTATACACAAATGATTGGTTAACATTATAATTTTTTGAAACCAGCAGCCAAATTGTGTATACATACATCATAGATATACAACATATAGAGTACATTACTTAAACCAAACAAACTCACATTAAATTCCAACAAAGGCGCCAACTAAAATGTTGTTCTAGTTGATAGTATATATCATCTGGTACAGTACAGTAAACTATAATGACATCTACACACTTTCCCAATAAAGTACAATTTTAGTAAAATACCAATACGTGGTTACACAAAATGATTATTACACACTAAAAATTCCACGTGTATAAAGCGATCCTTTGGCAACACCAGCCCAAAGCCAAAACCCCGAATGCTGGATGCACAAATACCGAGCCATCTTAAGAGTCATACGACCAAAAAAGTGAATAAAATGATATACAACGTCACCAGCTCGAATTTTCAAATCACGACCATTCTGTATTATTTGTTAAGTTGGCAATGAATATTTTTCTATTAGGTCTTGGCACCTTCAGATTCAATTCTGGAGAAAAGTACGGGACGTTCTTGGCTCAATAATTATGTTCAGACACCGATGCGTTTTCACAAACTTTGAGTAGCAACTGCAAGCTCTTGAACATCGTATGAGTTGAGAAATGCATACTCCATTCGTGGATGAAGGTTGGAATTTCTGCTAAATGGGAGGAAAAATTATGATTTCAAAATTAAAATTGTCCTTGAGGGGAAAACTAGTCCAATAGTCAGCACTTTTGTGCTGACATGAATTATCATTGATATGTTTTTTTTTTCTGTAAATTTATTGTTAATAAAATGCTGAAATATTCACAACACTAAGGTTTTTATCCGCCCATGCCAGGTATAGACTGTCTTATCCGTATTTGGCACAACATTCGGGAATTTTCAGTCATTTAGTCTCTTCAACTTTGTATTTGAGTCTTTTTCCCAATTGTTTCGATTCGAGCACCAATGATGAGTTTTACGTGGATGAAACGGTCGTCTGGTGTAAATTATAATTACCGGCCTGGTATCTTTGCTGAATTATTTTTGTTATCATAGACGCTGGTAGTGAGATGATTGTTGTAGTCAGATTGGAAGTATATGTCTAAAATTTAGGCATTTGAAGCTGTGTCATTGATTTCTTTAATCTGTAGTTTAGGGTAATATACTAATAGGACCCTATCAGAAAAAGTTTGTATTGTTAATACATCGATATCTGTATCTTAAATCAAATGAACTAGCTTTTATTTATCTTCTTGTTTTACTAGTGTCTAAAGGAACTCCGACTCATATGAAAATAAGTGCAGGTGGCCAAGGAGAGGCGCAAAATTGATTCCAATC